AAGTAATGTGCTCACAGTTCCTCACCTCTGTGTATTCATATCTGCGCACAGAAGGGCTGATATTTGGTTAAATACATTTTAGAATAGTTTTCAAGTTAGAATTCTTAGCTTTTACCTAAAAAACCTATGGTTGTTGCAGAGATGGGTAAAAAAGTCTGTTTAATTTCAGATAGATGTTTTCTTTCTGTGGATGCATGTTAGAGGAACTGAAAAGTTATGTATGAATAAAATAGGGAAGACAGGCTTTTCCATGTTGACTTTAGGACTTGCTTCACAAACAAGAAATGTTTCTCTTGGAACTGCCTGTTATGCAGCATACTGCTAAATTTCTTGAACTGCTTTAAACTTCTGTTCTATTAGAATCCTGTGGGAAAGTTTTCTATTTCTCTTTCCATAAAATGTTTGGCTATATTGATACTGGTTATGTCTCCGCTCCACACATATTAATGGGAAGTATTTCTTTACCAATTTACTCACTTTTTTCTTTTTTAAATGTAGCATGATTTTTCCATCCTGTTTTTATTACTGGTAAAAATCCACATTGCATTTTAAGGAAGAGAATTTGTTGAATTGTTGTTGAACTTTTCCTGTAATTTTTCATCTAATATTTGCAAATTTCAGCGGCTATGAGATGCATTCAGAACCATTGGCCTATCAGCTGCACCTCAGATTGATGTCACTTATCTTTCTGGCACCAAACATGCCACTCTGCATGAGGAATCATGAGGTGAGCACTTGAGGTTTGTTGAAGGATGTAAATGGGGTGTGAAGTGGAAAGGATGACCAAGAGCTCATCCTTTGATGAACTGAATATAAAGATGAAGATTTTGAATATAAAGGTTGTGAAAACATGCAAATGGACAAATGTGGTGGTGCATTCCCCCTTAACTCCTTTCTAGGCTGCAGTGTGATCTGAGCAAATGCCTATTAGGCCTCCTCCTCAAAAATACCACCTGGGCTCAGCTCTTTCTGAGCTTATAAAAAAACTCTCTCTGCTCTCAGACACTCCTAATGAGCTTCTGTTTTTCTCCTGACGAGCCTTGGTAAATATTCCTCTGGCCTGAACGGTATAACATTCCTATTCTCACACTTGTAAAGAAAGTGCCCACCCAAACCATGGCTGGGATGAAACATGGTTATGCCTGAAGCCCACTCTTTTGTGACCCTATCAACAGCAGTCCATGATGGGGCCCTTTGAGCTCTCCTCAAAGGGTGTGAGACGTCTGAGGAGATGCCTCTCAAAGCCAGGCAACCCTCATGTTTGCTATACCTGTTTACATGGTATTTATAACCTGTTAAGTGTTATTTCTCTGTTATATTGTAAAGATTAAGGTATAAACAAAGGTATAAGTTAAGTTAAAGTACTCTTTAGTTTAAGTGTTGTTAAGCTTTAGGTCATGTTCCTTTTCATTCTTGTTTATACGGTCCTTACACACAGATACACACACACTCCCAGGAAGTTTCAATTCATTTCTGGTTTGATTGCCTGGATTTTGTTTGGTGGTGTTGCTTGTTTTACCTGTTGTGCCTTAGTTGCCTATTGTAAGTAGAGGGAATATTGCCAAAGAATCTGTTGTGCTTTGTAGTTTAATATGAAATCTGACTTGCTCATAGCCTTGCTGGTGATTTTTTGAGTGATCTCAAGCACACTCATTTGGGACAACCAATTACCCTTTAACATTTTAAACCACAATAAAGATTTTGTTATGAATTTCTTTTAATTCTCAAAATTGCTTCAGCAGCAGTAGGTCTTCTCAAAACTGTTGACTACACACATGTTCAAATTAACATCTCTGTTTTGCAGTCCACCAGATATATTCTGCTAATTTTGGGATGGCTAGTAATTGCAAAGAGAGATGTACAGCAGAACCTAATATGTAGAAATCTTGATACAATTCACTAATTACCTAGAGTAGCTGGATAAATCTCTTGGATGCAACCTGACATTAAAAGAATTTTCTTTTTAATGAGCTAGAAGGGATTTGAAAGAATTTCTTCAATTCAGGTTAAGTTATATTTAGTGAATAATTTTCTTTTTTCACACAGAATTTAATCCAGCATTAGTATATTACTGACAGAGACAAGCTGAAAGCTCCTTCCAAATGATAAATTCCTTTCATGGTGATCTTCCCCAGCTGCTCAAAATAGCTTTTCTTATAATTTCCTGATAAAGAAAGACTCTTGCAATAATTTTTTTCTGTTCTACACTTTTTCATTCCTAGCAGACATCTGCTCTTCCTTGTTGGGTGCCACACTCCTCTATTCTCACAGTACAAACAAAATTACAAGCATTAGAGTTTTCTTCTGATTCCTTTCTATGTAACCAAGAAATTGTGTAGCTTTACGGTTCTGCACAATGTGGAAGCATTTTCTCTTTGTCTTCAATATGGGGGATTAATTTACAGCCAGACTGACCCAGCAGAGCTGAAAAGTCTGTCATAGGCATAGAAAAAAGAAGGGAAAACCTGTATTGTTCTTTCTATATTGAAATCTGCAGAGCATCTAAGCAGAGGAAATACTTTTTTTGTCCCTTTCTTTTGGGGGTGGTCCCCAGCATCCCTAGAGTCCTTGTGAAGGATTCACATCTTGGAGAGCAGAATCACAGAACTGTGGAATGGGTTGGAAGTGACCTTAACCACCATTTAGTTCCAACCTCCCAGCCATGGGCAGGGATGCAATTCACTAGATCAGTTTGTTCAGAGCTCCATCTAACCTGGCCTTACACAGCTCCAGGGAATGAATGCAGCAGAATGAGGTAGAAGAGTTTTCCATATCTGGCTTGTACTTCTGAAATTTATGCAGCTGCTCACCTTTCATTGGAATGGTGTTGATAACCACACTCATAAGCAGATTTTACTCTGCTAAACAATGACATCTCCCATCACCCCGGTGAATCCAACAACTCCCACATGTTCGGTTCCCCCACACCTCCAGGGAGAGTCCCCAGCCAACTGAGGGAGCTCCTGCTGTTGTGGGAACCAGGGGTCTAAATCACCATGGTTGGAAGGTGTGACCCACAAATACAATTCTTTGGCCATAGTCAAAGACTTCCTTGCTGTTAAAATCAGGTTCATCCCTGGTGGCAAATACAATCCTGGTGAAGGGAAGGGTATTTCGAAAGAGATCTGTAAGTATTGTCCTTCTAAACTGAGCAAACTGGGTAAAAATAGATAAAGGGGAGAATGGGGGAGTCATTACCAATACTCATTTTTTTTTCACAGTGTTTCTTAAAGAGAGTAGAGTACTGAAAAAGCAAAAAACTTTTTAATTTTATTGGTGGATAATGACACAGACAGCCTGTGCTATTGCGGAATGCTTCTGACCTTGTTAGAGCCACACCCCTTTGCCTGAGCTTTGGTACTGATTTTCAAGGGCTTTTTCCTGAATCTTCAATTTCTAAAAATTGGTCACTCCACAAAAACAAGGATTACAGTTCCAATTTTCCCAACTTTCTTCTTTTAGTGACAAAAGAACTGGGTGGATTGTTTTAAAGGTAATCCCTGAGCACTTATCTTTGGCCTCCAGGCAGCACAGGCTGCTGCTGAGCAAGCACCCAGCTTCGATGTGTAAACCATATTCATTAGGAGCTCAGACAGGCTGCAGCTCAGCTCTGACCTCGTGATTAACAGGAGAGTGGAAAGGGTTTGTGTGAAGTTTTAATCTCCACCCAGGAGTTGCCTAAGTAAATCCTATTAGAAAGAAGAGGATCTGAGCACATGGGTTTTGCATGTGATTTTGACCATATCCCTATTAAATTCTTTGTGTGAATTACGTCAAACCCTAAGGCTGGAAAATTTAAAACAAAATACTGTGTCATGCTAAATTTCAGAAAAAAAATGGGTTCAGAGACTTTATTTTACTTTGAAACTGCTTAGATATAATTTTAGAAGGATCTAGGTATATTGAGGATTAATAATTCAAATCCTTCTCTCCTATATTTATCCTTCTTTACCACTGGATTTAAAAAAAAAAAGTGGCAAAATGCGCTGTCACCAATTGTGGGGCAAATAAAATTGCTACCATTGATGTGTATTTAGACTCCAATAAAAACGGAATTTTTCATTTTTTTGTTTTGGAAGGGAAAAAGTTAAGACGACACAGGAAGATGTACAAGTGAAAAGTCAATAAACTGTCACAGCAGTGCAGCATGCTGTTGCCTTTTTCCTCAAGAAATGACTAAACTTCAAGAGTGTTTCAATTCCATAGCTAAGACCAAAAGCCTGATTCCTCTTCTGACATATTTGCCAGATATTTTCCCATTAGTAACAGTAGCAGTTTAATACTAGGAAATCTGCTGCGTAATTACCCTATGACCTTAATTTTGAACAGTTAATTATGAAATATGGGCTTTTTTTTTGTTTGTTTGTTTTGGGTTTTTCCCCTGTATGTAGTAAAGTGTTGTTATAATGAGTTTAATTAAGTGAAAATGCATGTTGGCCTGCAATGTTACAAGAGGTTGCTATGTGCCAATAAATCATAATTAAATGTATTTAGTGTAATTGAAGGTGTCATTCACAATCTTGTTGCTTGTAAAAAATGTTGTTTCCTTAAATGGCAAGCCCTTCCAATTATAAAGAAAACCAAAAGCTCAGTTTTGCTAACCAACAGCAATGTAATGTTTATTTTACAAAGAATATCTGTGTTTTATTCATGAGCATTCATTTAATATAGTAAAGTAAGTGGTAATATCTGGGATGCCTGAAGACATTTTAATGTGCTTTTTTTTTTTTTTTTTTTTTTTAATTTTTTTTTTTTTTTTTTTTTTTTTTTTTTTTTTTTTTTTAATATTTGCTGACCTGCTGGTTGTTTTGGCGAAGTGTAGTTATGGTGAGGGCAGTGCCATCTGCTGAAACATGGAGAAGAATCCCCAAAGAAAGCTTTGTGACTTAACTGGACAAGACAAAGCAAAAAATACAGACTACATGAACTTTACTCATTATGAAAGAAGAACTAGGACTCTTAGGTTTCAAATGTGTAATTTAGAAGTATGCAGTGAGCACATGAGTTTACAACTCTGGGATTATTCGGGTGAGTAACTACCACACTGTTGTACCTTCCTTCATTGAACCATTATCTAAAAAGGAATATTTTGTTGTGGGCCATTTGTGTGACAGTCTGTGCTCACACTTCTGTGTTTAAATAAGGTTTTTGTATATTAAAAAGTGTGTGCCTGCCCTACCTGTAAATATGAAGAAGTTTTTAGGGGGAGAATGGACTTTTCATGTATTTGGAGAACATGCTGCATGTTAGTGCAATGAAGGACAATAGCCCCTGCATACCAGATTTTCATTTTCTGTAGAACTCACTATGCCACAGTTCCTTCTTCCTCACCACCACTCCTATGCACTTTTCTGAATCCCAAATGGTTTATTGTTAAAGCCAAAAGGGGGGGGGGGGGGGGGGGGGCTCAGTTCTGCTTTCCTGGCAGTGTCAGCATCTCTGATGGCATTGATTTAAATTTAAACTTTCCAAGCCTGTATTAACAGAGGAGAAATGCTGCGTGTGCAAATGTGCAGGGGAAGGAAAGAAAGATATGAAAGTTTGATGTTTTAACTTCTGGGTTCTTTTGAGTCCTATTTACATACAAGGTAGAAGAAAGTTTTCCATGTGGAACACTGTCATTATTGAATTAAACTTATAAAAGTAGAATTATTTTATTCATTTCTCCATTTGTGGTCTCAGTTCCTCCAGTCTTTACAATAGACAATTCTGGGAGACAGGGATTAGCAGCTGCAGGCCTTCATGTGATCTGAAGGGCACAGTAGGAGCATAAAGAATTTAAATATCACTCATTTTCTTTTCCCTTTACTCCTTTTCTCCCTGCCCTCCCCGTGCCATTCCACATGGGAATCAATCAGTCATTCAGAGCCATGGACAATGACCCCCTACCTTTTACAGCTCATATCCAAAAATCCATTGGCAAAGCAGACCTGGACTCCAGCTATCTCAGCACTGCTGGAAGTCACATTCTGCACTGTTGGACGTTGGGATTCATGAATCACAGCCTTGCACTGTACACCGAGCACCTTCAATCATTTGTCAGAAACATTGGCTGAGCGCTGTCTGAGCGCTGTATACTTCCACTTTTGTTTTAATGCCTTTTCAGTTTTCACAATGAGTCTGGGGAACCTCACAGGAATGAAGTTCCTTTCTGATTAAAATGTCTTGTCTTTAAATCCAGCTTTGCAGCAGGGATGCCAGCCTGGAGGGCACAGCATGGCCAGGGTACGCTTCTGTGTATCAATCAACAGTGATTGATACAACCTCACTTCCTCGATGATCATCCCAAATAAATCTCCTCAGTATTTTCAGACATGATGTAGATACCCTTTACATCCATATAAATCTTCAGCCAGGAGAAAATTAGCCAACTCCAGACATTGATCTTGTGAGGTAAATTGTACCTAGGCAGCAGGGGATCCATTGATAAACAATGAAGAAATGCAGATAACTTACCAGCTTACTTTTAATCAATGAAGCTTCTTACAATGTATTATTCCAGCAATGGGTCTAAATCACTGTGCACTATAAGAGTTGTTTTCAAAACCTTTTAATCTAATTGGAAAATCTTCCTTTCTACTGGTAATAAACACTCACTAAACTGTCTGCACCTAATTGAGCTGCAGTAATTTATGTGAGCTCCCCACTGCTTTTTCTCCCTTTAATCAGACAGACTGCTTTACATCTTTAACTAATGAAACCTAAGACTTCGCCAAGAAGATTTGATCAAATGTCACTACTGAATAAATCTTCATTAACACTGACATGTCCCACAGCCTCTCCATGTCCCTTTTCATCATTAACTCACAGCAACATCATCATAGAAAGGTGATGGCCACTACTTTATTTACATATACAATTAAGCGGTAGTCAACAATGTCACACCAAATAAGAACTTGAAAAGAAAATTTATTGTAGTTTTCTGTCAAGACATAATGATAGTAACTGCAGTGAAACATTTTTTTCCTGGAAAGAATATCTCAGCCCTAAACATGTGCTAGAAATGCCACCAGCTACCATGTACATTCCTAAAAGCCTTCTCTGTAGTAAAGCTGTTGAGATCTGTCCTTATCCTTGATAAATAAGAATTCCTGCCCACCCAGCAGTGCTTTGCAGAGATTCTCAAGTCAGCTTAGGTAGTAATAACTGTACAACTGCTTCCTACAGGAGTATCAGATATCCACATGTGGTACCTAGCACAAGCCCTTTGATGGTATTGCTGGGTATAACATAAGCAGCACCTGTCCCCACTAAATAGAACAGTAAAAGGTGGTACTCCCATGCCTGTGTGGGAGAGAACGAGAGAATTTTCCAGAATAGGCCAGTATTAACCAGAATTAAAGTTTCAGGTGAAAGAGAAGCAAGCCAGTACTCTATAAGGCAGAACAAAACTGCTTTTTGGATTTTCCCTGATGGAATATATGATTTTTTTGTGCATAAAAAATCAGAGTTGCCAAAGGAAATGTTCAGATTACCAGCTTTAGGCATTTCAGTGTGCTCAGCATTAATTCCACATATAGAGTTGATTCTGTACTGTCTTTGGCTGTAAAGTCAGGTGAATGAATGCTTTGAAAAGTCTTTGTGTTGCTCATCAAATATTTAGTAAGTGGTAAAAGACAAAAAAAAGTTAGGAATGTGGATGCTGGTACTTTAATGGGAATTGGGATAAGTGTTGAAGCATGAATTGGGAAATGCATGTTGAAATGGAGTCGGGGCAGGGACCATGACGGCAAAGACATTAATTGCTAAACTGGACAAAAAAGAGCAGCTCACAGTGGCCAGTGCTAAGGTCAGATAGGCTGAAAAAGAAGATGATTTTGACAGCAGAGTTTGTCAAAAGTCTTGTGTCTGGCAGGTAATGCAGGCAGGACAGGCTGAATAGAGCCACATCTGACCTGGCTTGGCATTTTCCTTGGAAAGCTTCCTGAGCTATGGTTTTGCACAGTGCATGCATTGATTGAATTGGACCTGCTAATCTCAGTGAACACTTTATGTCTGCAACATCTACTGCTAATATATCTGTGTTTGTATATATATATCTATATATCTATACATATATACACACATATATATGTATATATATATATGCACATTTATATATATATGATTTATATATATATATATGTATTTGCATGTGGGAAGCATGTAGTGCGTCTGGCTCTTTCACAAATGTTCTTCTAAGAAACCCTCTGCTTCCTTCTATAATCAGAATCTCTTTAATGGCATGGAATGACAATTGTGTCAAGGTGACAAAACAGGAGGCAGGACTAGGATGGACAAACCAAAACTTTTATACTTATTTTTTGCTCCATGTCATGTAGACCAAAGGAAAATTTGATATTTATGAGAGAGTGCATTTGGATTTTCTTTAGGCCTTAGTTTGATGTTAGCAACCTTTAAAACTATTCATCCATAAATAATTTTTTGTGAAGGTTAATAATACTTTCCAAAATGTGTTTAATAATCATTGTCTGGCCTTCCATCTTAGACAAACCACTTAAAATAAATGTCAGTTGTAGATGATTTTGGGGCATAGCTGGAGCCTGAACAAACTTTTGTTTTTCAAGGGCAGATTTTAGCTAAAGATAGCTCTGTTGCCCTGCATTCCTGAGGGATTTATATTGGGATGCTCTTCTACTTGGAGATAAATGAACATTCACAGTAGATGATTCATATTATGTGAATTAGTTAAATTATGTTTTTCTCTAATCATGAGAAACAATATCATTTCTGTTGTACAAAAATACTCTGACTGTGGAAGGAATGTTTTTTGAAAGGTGAAGATAAAAGTACAATTGCTGAGTACAGTTGGAAAGACAGGAACAGGTGGGGATTTTAGGAATATCTACTAGCCTGTGGTTACACTGAATATGACACATGTATCATGTATATTTCGGAAGGGCTTGGTATCTCTCATACAAATCCTAAAACCAGATGATTTTAATAAGGAAATAATTTTGTTGCAGATACAGTGTCTTAGTGTTATATTTTAGCCTCATATGCAGGATCTCTCATTGGCTAGTGTTTCATGTTGGCAGTGAAGGTGGATCTTGTCATCAGTATTGAGATCTATCAAAGCAAAAATATTGCTTCCAGAACTGCTGAGTTCTTCTGTAGCAACTGTAGAAATCCTAAAGCTTTGGAAGGCCTGTGAGTGAAAAATCCATGGCATGGATATACACATACTTCTTGTATGCAAGTGTCTCTCAGAGAGGACACACAACTTGGTGGAATAACTCATGTTGTAACCCTGTGTTACACCTATTCTGCTTTAAGAAATGATATTAATTTGCCTTTGGATACATGATATACACATGCCAGTAAAAAAAGTGTTTATGTACTTTCTGAGAAACAGACATTACAGGATTTTATTCAGGCATAATTTATCTTTCTGAGCTATTATATCAGCATTTCTAGCACATCCGGTAAAATGTATGTGATCCATTTGGACCAATTGCTTGCCAGGCATTGCGTTCTCTGTTTTCTTTTTTTACTGCTTTAGCCTAGTGAATGTGACAACCTGCTCAACTTGGATATTCACACAAGCAGCAGATAGGAGCATGCCTTACAGCTTATGTTGTGCTACTGGAAACCTGAAACTTGTAGGTCAATGATGCTGTTTTATTTCTTTTCCAATGATGGAAGAGAGAAAAAGATGAACTACAAGATGATCAAAAAGCATTTTTCCACTGCTGCTCTTTGATATACTATTCTCTGTAATATAAATGCTGTAATAAATCATACTTTCTGTTTGTTCCATGTCTTGGGGTCAGTGTTCAGCACACTCAGTGGAACCGGCAGGTTTTTTTATTGTTCCAACGAAAGCCTGTGAATATGCTCCAGCCAGCTTATCTGATTGTTTGTTCTGCTCAGCTAAGCAAACCATGCAAGTGTGCCTAAACTAAATTACCTGCTGCAAGTCTATACTGGTGTCATTTCAGTAGAGACTCTTCCATGTGTTTCCTTTTATTCCCTCTCCTGTGTCTTTTTCACAGTCATTGTTCATTAAAAGCCATTGAAAGTAAAAA